GTGTGTGTGTGTCTGTGTGTGTGTGTGTGTGTCTGTGTGTGTGTGTGTCTGTGTGTGTGTCTGTGTGTATGTGTGTGTCTGTGTGTGCGTGTGTGTGTGTGCAGGTATCGTGCTGTAGTGTCGTGGAGTCGTGTTCAGGGTGTGGGGATCCCTGTGTCCACGGCTGTAGAGATCGTGTGTATCTGGCTGCTGGCTGTAGTTTTGGCCGTTCCTGAGGCCATCGGCTTCACAATGGTCAGTTTCGACTACAACAACGTCACCATCCGCACCTGCATGCTGAAACCAGAGACGCCCTTCATCACGGTAACAACACGCAACAGCTGCAGACATTAATTATGTTCCTTCAGATTTGAGTTTAAAGGGTTACTCCACCCCAAAATGAAAATGTTGTCATTAATCACTTACCCCCATGTCGTTCCAAACCCGTAAAAGCTTCGTTCGTCTTTGGAACACAATTTAAGATATTTTGGATGAAACCCGGGAGGCTTGTGACTGTCCCATTGACTGCCAAGTAACTTACACTGTCAAGGTCCAGAAAAGTATGAAAGACATCATCAGAATAGTCCATCTGCCATCAGTGGTTCAACCGTAACGCTATGAAGCGACGAGAATACTTTTTTGTACGCGAAGAAAACAATAATAACCACTTTATTCAACAATTCGTCTCCTCTGTGTCTTTCCTCATCACCGTAGCGCCATTTTGGAGAATATCCGCTGAACGCAAGCAGTGTACACTATTCTGTGTCAGCCGCGCCGCACGGATGCGCTGTTTTCGTTCAAATCAAAGCGTAAATACACGTAGAAAACGTATCCTTGCAGCGTAAGTTATTTGATAGTCTATGGGACAGTCACAAGCCTCCCGGGTTTCATCCAAAATATCTTAAATTGTGTTCTGAAGACGTACTAAGCTTTTACGTGTTTGGAACGACATGGGGGTAAGTGATTAATGATATATTCATTATGTATGTATGTACAATATATCTTTTTTTAATTGTTTATTTATTATATTATCATAAAAATACTTCTATATTTTACTGAAGATATATAATTATTTCTTTAGTATTATATATATATATATATAAATGTAAAATGATATCAATATAAAACGTTTATTTAGATTAAGTAAGTATATTTTTGAATTGTTAACTAGTTATATTTATATAAAAATAAATATATCATTATTAGTGATTAATGACAACATTTTCATTTTGGGGTGGAGTATCCTTTTAATAGCACTTAATTCATTACTCCTCCATAAAGCTGAATAATCAGTCAGTTCTGTGGTGTGTGACCAGGACATCAGCAACAACAATGACCCGACTTTAACAAGATACATAGACACTAATCTGCATGTGGACAACATTTCCACCAGTATTTAGTCTACTACTTTTATTATAATTAATGTTATATTTTTAATATAAGGACAAGCATTTGAAGTTATGTTGGTGTTTTCACATTTTCCAACAATTTATAAACAGAAAGTAGTTCAAAAGCTCTTTTGGAATATTTTTTAAAGAGACAAGATCTATAACATATAATAGATTTGAAAAATTATTAGATTAGATAAAATGTATAAATGTTTAGATGATATACAGTGTATAATATAGAAAATTTATATATAACAATCTATATACATTTATTTTCGATTTTATATATATCACAAAAATGTATTTTGACTGAAAATATATAATTATTTATTTAGCATTATATATATATATATATATATATATATATATATAATATTTTTTATAATTTATATAATTTTATATTATATATATATAATGTCAAATAACATAAATATAAAATAATATTTATTTATATTCATTATGTATGTATGTACAATATATCTTTTTTTAATTGTTTATTTATTATATTATCATAAAAATACTTCTATATTTTACTGAAGATATATAATTATTTCTTTAGTATTATATATATATATATATATATAAATGTAAAATGATATCAATATAAAACGTTTATTTAGATTATGTAAGTATATTTTTGAATTGTTAACTAGTTATATTTATATAAAAATAAATATATCATTATTATATGAATATATTTATTATATAAATATAATATAATAAATAAGAATATATAAATAAGATTAAATACGATTTTATATTGGTGTTCTATACATTTAATATTTTTTAAATATACATATATGTATTATATAACTATATTTATATAACTATACTAACTATACTAAATATTATTTGTAAAACATTTTAATTAGCTGTATTTTCATAATTAAAACAAGTAACTAAATGTGGCATCTCCATCAATGTTTTAATGCTTTTATATTTACATATGAAATGTGGCATTTTTGTGTGTGTTGATGATGTGTGTTGTTGTGTGTGTGTGTGTGTGTGTGTGTGTAGTTCTGCGGGGATGTGACGGTCTGGCGGTGGGTT